GGAGCATTCATTAGCAGCTAGAATCATCTTCCAGGAAAACAGTTCAGGTTATTTCACTATCAAACTTTTGGACAAAAAAAAAAATTCTCAACTCAAAACAATTTGCCCAACTTCAGATTTATTTATATATATATCTCCTCATTTTTTGGACTATACTAAACTCATAATACTTGGTTCCTTTTTTCAGTGCATTGTGTTCTTTGCACCAGATGACAGCAATCTTTGCTACATTAAAGTGTATTTTGCTCAAATGAGCCCACCTTGTTTTGTCCTTTCCTGATCATTACAGAAAACGTTGCCACTTTTTTCATCACTAGTTACTTTTGTTTATTTCCAGAATACTGATGAGAATCTGAAGAGCTTTTAGTTTATAGATATTGATACCGGAAATTATTTGATAGTTTCATATTATCTTCTATCCTGTTAAATATTTAAATATGCTGTTTTTAATGTGTTCACTATACACTCAAATTGCATTGCATTGGGCAGGGTATCTTCTGATACTGTGGTGTTCATCAGAAGTCCAGATATGTTGTGGCAATCACACTGTCCAAGTCCAATCTCTAATTTCACAACAGTTGTAGATACTTTGAGTTTACTTATTCAAACATTAAGAAATAGTTTAAACAACAAGGATCTAAGTAAGGTCTCCATGATGATACTTACATAGTATGTCCCTTTGACAGTGTGGACTTTAAAATGAACACAATAGAGCTTTTATCTGCAGACAACAGTCTTAATATGTTTGAAGATCAAATGTAGAAAAAAAAATGAGAGGGAGGATGATTATGTGGCTAAAAACCCCTCAGTTGGCTAAAGGAGATGTGAGGAACATCCTAGTGAGAAAAACTGAAGCTGAAAAGATCAGTGGCAGATTTTCTCAGATTTTCTAAAAATACAATGCTTTGTACTGGTTTAAATTCTTCAGACTAGTTGCTACAGTTCTCAGACTTATTTGTAATTTGTTTGCCTAAAGAAAGTTGGTTCTGAGAAAGTAGAAAGGTTGAAGATAACTGTCTCTGCTGGTTTTTGTACTCTGTACTGAGGTCCTGCCATGAACAGATTCCAGCAGGGAACTAACATTACAGTATCAAGATTTAGGACCTGATTCAAGTTACAGTCCAGTCTAGTACAGAATGAAGTCTGTTGTACTCACACTTCTACAGTCTCCTCTCATCTGTAAAGATCACAACCCTGCCCTCTTTCATTTCTCTTTAGAGGTGAGAGGAGGAAAAGTGAAGCTGGTCGAGGCCCCACTTTTGTGTGTATCTCCAGTATATATCTCATGCATTCCTTGTTTTCCTCAGGACCTCGAGGAAAATTCTTTCTATTGAAATGCTAATAGAGGAATAAACTGTATAATAAGACTGCATTCCCTTTGGGCCTACATGTAATTTACACATAAAATGAAATTGCATATGGCCTTGTTTCGTAGCATATTTGTTTAATTATCTGTCTTATAAAGCCTTTTTCAATTAATTTTCAATATTTAAAAAAGAAATAAAAATTTCAATTTATCTGTGTACCTGATAATTAAGTACAGTTTGGGGAATAATTACATTATCTAATAGTAGAAATTTGTCCAGCTCCAATAACTGGCATTTTTCAACAGTTTTGCTTGCTTTCATGTTCTCCAACTATTCCAGTTCAAAGTAAGTTCATATTCTGTGTGTATTACTCATTCCCCGCTGGTAATACTAAACACTGATCAGTTGATCAAAATTTCTCTGCTTTCCCTGACAATGACTTTTGACAATTAATATATTAAATGTGAACAGACCCATTGCTAGTCTGAATCTCTCTGAGAGGTCTGTTTGTACAGTTCTGTTGTATACCAAGATAACTATAAATGACACAGCTATGAAAGTATTAAGTTTTTCATGAGGACTCATTACCTTTGAGAAACATATAGTTTGACACACTGTGTTGAATTCTGATGATCGTTGTTCAAGAGAACTGAAATATCCTAGTGCAATTTTAGTTGGAATAGGTATGGAGGAGTATTATTGGAGAGCAATATGACAAGATTAAAAAAAAAAAAAAAAAAAAAAGATGCCCTCTGTGGTGTTGATTTTAGTAAAGTAACAACCAAGAACAACCAAATGATTATCTGAAAACATAGAGCTGGGATTAGTACCAAAGAGGAAAAAAATTAAGCCAGCGAGGTCCCAATCAGCAACCCCTGGGTCAAAATCATCCTGCTGTCTTTTTTCCCACTGGGGAGATAATAAAAAGTTGTTTGGGCAACACCTCCTGTTAAATGTATAGCCTTCCTCTCCTTTCTCTGTGTGATTGGCCTAGAAGTGACTCATTGTGTCACTTCATTATGTAGCGAAGGGGTGATGTATCCTCCTGCAGGTACACTGCTATGATATTATCCCAGGCTACTTCCCTCTTTACAATAGTTCACTATACATGGGAAAACTTTGCTTCTGAGATACTCATTTGCCAAAGCTCAACCAACCTGATTTGGATTAAAGGAGGACAGGAAACAGGACAAGCAAAATGAGAAGTTTGGTGTTTCAGGGTAAACAAATACAATCAACTCATTAAGATGGCTGAATGAAGGTAGCATCATAACTAATGTCATCTGTTTTTCCCACCACACAGGTCAAAGCAAGAAGCACTGGTTCTACAGCAGATGTACCCAAAGTGGAATGATACAGAAGTTAGCACTGCCCCTAGATGAGGATGACGAGCAAATTCTTGCAGCATTCCATGTTTTTGATTCCATGAAGTAGCAGTGAGGGCATGGTTAACCAATGGGACTCAGTAGCTTAGGCTGATAGTTGGATTTAACAATCGTGATGGCCTCCAACTTAGATGATTCTGTGATTCCAAAAAGAACGTACGAAGCATCCTCACCTAATTCACAGTGTGGAACAAGCTGTAGCAAAATGGACTCCACACCTCCATGGGCTTCTCCATCAAGCAGAAAGGCTGGAGCTGTTATATGCATATATGTTATATGATATAATATATCTATATTTTGTCATACACAATGCAAGAGTATCCTGCACGATATTGATCAAACCAGAGAACAAGTCATGGCATGGCCAAGGAAGCTCCTGAAGAGACATCAGGAAGTCCTGGCATCACCATACCACCCCCGGTACTTTTTGTTTAACAAAGACTTTGAAGAAAATCACCACATGAATATGACAAGAAGAGCACTGAGACATCTTGGAAACAACAGGATGGCTACTGACTGACACCAGATAACACACCAATTAACAAATGTAAACTTAAATAAGATTGTGAACCTGAAGTACTCAGCCAATGGGGAAACAGGAGGGGGATAGGCAAAGGAGGAAACACAGTACAAAAAGCTGTCACTGTGTGCATAGGTACACTCCTGCCTGTGGGATGCCCTCCACTGCAATTGCAAATAAAATCTGCTTTTATCAGATATACCCCCCTGTATGGGAACTGCTGAGTCACGGCCTGAACCTCTGATTAATCACCTGAGGTGAGCAATGAGTCAGCCCTGGAAGCACAGGTGAAAGCAATTCACCTGTGCTGCAGGAAGGGGTGGAGCCTGGCTCCACCTCTCCTAGACCCATTTAAGAGCTGACTACCAGTGGGGAAGGATCTCTCTCTCTTTGGAAGATCCACTTCACTGGTCTTTCCTGAGCAAGCCCATGACACAGGTAAGCATCCTATTTATTCTCTTTGTCTCACTGTGCCTAACTCTCTTGCTTATTTCATTATTATAACATCTTAATATTAATTGATTATATAATATTCCTTTATATAATTTTCATTGATTATACACTCCCTGACAAAATTAGTTGGATATTTCCAACAATCATGATTAGCTATACACTGTTAACATACATTGTGCTAGAGTCATATCCATTTTGTCACTTAACAAATGTGGTAAATAACAAGTGAAGTCCCATGCAATTTTCCTTAAGGAAAGGATTTTCCATCTATAGAAACCGAAGTGTTCTTTTCCTAAAGATGAGGTACAAGAAGTAAGATAGAAAGCAGTTATGTCATGCATTTCACCACTCAGCAGCAAGCAAGGGCTGATTTGTGTAATCAGTATGTTAGGGAAAGAGATAATGAAAAAGCATTAATGAAATTTCTCCTCAGTAGGTTTTTCCAATACCAGTACTATTAGTTGTCAGTTATAGTCTCTGTTGCTGATTCACATTAGGAAAGTGAGTGGGACAGTGGGGTTTCAGGTCAAGTACTTGCCAGCTGCCTGACAAAATAAAGATCAGGCTTTCTTCTGACTGTCAAACATCTTACAGCAAAGCTTAGTTTCTCAGCTAGGGCTCTCACTTCCCACAAATACAGTGCTACTCAGCTTGCAATCCTGATAGAGGAAATATTAACAATAAAAAAAATAGTTGAGAAAGAGCCTTACTAGCTCTACTTAAGCCTTCAACATTTCCTTCTACTTCTTTTGTCCCTCCACTTCTGGTTTATACCACCTCACACTGTTGCTAATCAGCCTGGTGCTGACAATTAGGCTTGTTAACACCCTTCTTGCAGAAGGTTTGCTCTCCAATTAGGCTGCATGCCTCCTTCCAGGCAGACAGAATAGAACAGAAAAGAAAGTGACCGTTCTCAGTGCTGTAGTCCCAACAGCATCTGCAGGGAGGCCTGACAGCAAAAGGTAGAGCTTTTAACCCCTGAACTGTCAAGGCAGTTTAGCACACTGGATGACAACACAGCTCAGTTTCTGATTAAAACAAATTTATTTATTTATTAAAAATCCAGCTATGTACCTTGTAAGAGTCACAACTGTATCTGTTCCAAGGTTAGTACTTAATTCTTACTGTTTTCAAGGGATTTTAATCACCTTAACAGCTTATTACGTTTAAATTGTAAAGTTATCTTAAAGTAACTGCTGTAAGATCTGCTCCAAAAGTAATGCCTCCTATTTTATGATGTTGGCTCACTACATCAGAGGGGTATGTTGGTAATATTGCAGTAGAGGGTGAATCTTCTCATCAGAGTCCTATTACATTTTGTTGCCATATGACAAGTGGCAGGAGAGGGACAGTCTGACAAAATGGCATCTGATGTGGAAGTGCATATGAAACAAAGGTATGTCATTGAATTTGTCTGTTCATCAACACTTGCTAAACATCTATGGAAACCAAACATTGGGTATGAGCACAGTGAGGTGGTGGGCGGTGCATTTCAGCAGTGGTGACAGACAAGCAACATTCCAGATCACCATGCAGATTTTTATGCGCACAGCATGCAGACTTTTGTTCATTGCCGATGAACATGCACAGCTAATGGTGGTGACTATGCTGAAATCCACTGTTTTGTAGCTGAGAACTTGCTCTATCAGTGTTATTGTACACTTTGTATCTGTTGTAGTTTCTGTGGAAAGAACAAAGATTCATTACTGTTGAAGTGACATTCATGTAATTCCACCATGACCAATTTGTTGTTTTTGCTTTGCATATTCACGAAGATCTTAATTTTTTTTGCAAAAGTGTCCAAGCAGTTCAGAACTGATTTACCCTCCTGAGCTAACATCGAGATGTCTCTGTGCTGATTGCTCTCAGTTAATTTGATATATGCATTCTGGCTTGCTTCTGTTTAGAACCATAAATTGTATGATGATAATGTGATTCTACTTCCTATCATACAACCTCTGTAATCCAGATTTATTCTTTAGGACTTGAAACCCTGACAGGTTTCAGTGGACACTGTTTATTTGCAACTTTTGACTTTGATAACACATAGTTAATACGGAATAGAGAAAAATAGGCATATTCTCTCTGGCATCAAACAAGCATACATGACCCTTCTCTTTTTTAGACAGCCATTTCCACTCAACTCCATTGCAGATTGGCAGATCAGAGCAGAGAGGACGGCACAGAAAGAAAATCAGCAGATACAGGGACAACAGAGTTACAGAAGACGGTGACAAAATGCAGAGAATACTGAGGGTGTTGTAGAAGTTTATATCAAGAGAAAGAACCCCAAGGTAGGGAGATGTGGAAAGAGTATTTTGTAGAATGGTCGAAGATGTCACACTCAAATATCTTTTTCTTGAGACAATGATGTTTTTGACAGAAAAACAATTTTCATGGGAAAATTTGTCATTTGGAATTCTTAAGATTGCTGACATGTTTCAACAAAACAAGTAACTATGATTTTTGTAGCTGAAAATTATTTTTTTCCTGCGTGACTGTTTTTAGAAAAAAATATAATTCCTCAAGGGAACTTTTTTATTGAAATAAAATATTAGGATCAAAAAATTGGAAGGATGTTAGAGGGATGGACAAAAAAAAAAAAGAGCTGGAGAGGAATATATAAAAATATAGCAAGATGAAGTATGTCTGGAGGAATATTCATGGAGAAGAAAATGATCAATGGAAAGAAAAGCCCTAAAGGGATATATATCATGATTAAACAATAAAAAGGTAAGAAAAGGAGATTAAAAAAAAAAAGTTCTCTTTCTTGTGATCCCTGCAAATGACAGTAGACATCTCCTTTTCCATGTTTGCAGACTGCCAAGAAACTCAAAATTCCAGCTAATCTTGTTCCCTGCTTTGTTTGAATTTATACTTTTATTAATGGAGGCATGTTTGAAATCGGTAGGAAGAATTAATGGCTGTACATAAGAGGAATGCAGGTGCTGCTGTGTTGGTACAGCTGAAGCACAGTTGGAGTGTAGTATATGCCCACCCTCCTGGGGGATGTGTATTTTAACACCGCTTTGAAAGATTCAGTCTGTACTGCAAGGGAAAGCGCGGGAAGATAGTTACAGAGCATTTGCAAGCCTAGGGGAGTCCCAAAGTTGAGAATTGAGGATTTTTTTGTTTTATTCAAAAGTTGTAACTGCACACCTAAACTTCTCCAACTTCACTGTGCTTTACCCCACAGTTCCTATGGTGCTGCCACTTTTCTGTGCCTTTCCTTTTTGTCTTCCCTGAGATCCCCACTGCTATCTTATATATAACTCATGCCCTTTTTAGCTCTCCTTTCTCTGTGCTAGCTCTCATTTTACTATCCCCATTCTGATCCCACCTTTGTGCTTTTCTGCAGCACTCAGAATCTCCTCAAAGCCAGAGTTCGGAAGAGACCCCAGAGAAAGGCTGCCTTGGTCTATGCATTTACAGGCTTTAAGGATCTTCTGATCAGGATCTATTTTATCATGTCAATGTGTTACAACAACACAGTCCTTCCTATTGTCTCCTGAATAAACCTACTCAGACTAGTTTAAAAATACAAGCCAAACCCTATGTTTGTAGTGAGTCCTATCACTTGCTTGAGCTTCAAAAATGGAAACTATGTTGTTAACTAAACTAAACAACTGAAAGGAAAGATGAGACTAAGCATTTGTCCTAACTGGAAATTTCTGCTGTACACAGCAGCAAAACATAGACTACAATAGGAGGGAGGAGCCAGTGTAATTGCCTTTTCCTGTGATCTCTAGATTTTCAAGTGAAAGGATCATGTCTAGGGTTCTGTGCCCATTTTTTTGTCATAAGATCTCAGTACGTAGATGTCTTTTTTTCTACTCTTAATTTGCCTGGAGCAAGGCTTTTATCTAGACTTTTAGCCATGAGGCACCTGCTGAAATATTCATTGGCAGAAATTGTGCCATGGGTGTTTTTCCCCATTTGTCCAGTACTGTGTCATTAAAATAAGGTTGAGTACAATGAAAATAGGATTTGACACAGAAGAATGGCATCCTCTCAAAAACGTATATAATAGGCAGTTAACCCTTTTCTGTGCAAGAATTTAAGTACTAAAAACTACTGTATAGTTCTCTTTAGTCAATGGTCCTTTCCCACCAATCCAAAATGGAATTGAAGATTATAACTTCAATTTGTGTGAGACTCAAGTTTGCAAGATTTTTGAGAATGATGTGAAGATTTTGATTATTGATTTTTGTACTGGTCTCTAACTGAAGGTAATAATCACTTGGCAAATTTGAGGAAAATATTTGAGAAAATGCAAAAAAAAAAAACCCAGAAACTTTAAAATTTTATAATGTGTACCTAAACCTAAATATCCATCCTTCTTTCCTTCCTTGCTGCTTTATTTTTTTTCCTTTCTGCCTGCCTTGCCTTTTCCCAGTGCTTAGGTAATATAAAATGATTTAAAAGACACTTGTTTTGGATGTAGTTCTGAAAATGGGAGTGACAGGTTTCAGAAATCTCAGAGGATAAAAATAATATTGAATGAAAGAGTACCTCAAGTATATGCAATTAAGCTTGGAATACTTGTGACCTTATACAAGACTGGCCTCATAGCTTACCAGTTAGCTTTGCTTTGAGCCAGGGTCAGGCTGGGTGAACTCTCAATGTCCCTTCTGACCAAAAATTGTTCTCTGATTCTGTTTTATGATTCTAATATGAACAGATACTCAGTGTACAGGAAGCAAGAAGTATTTTTTAAAAACTGAGTTTCATATTTAATCAGTTTGACTGTAGCAAAGTATGATATTACTTCACCCTATGTTTGAGGATCTAATCCGAGGTCTTATCTGATTGTCTTCACAGGAACATAAATCCAATGACATACAAGCAATTTCCTGGTAAACATACTGGAAACTTACTTTCATGGTTCATGTAGGATTCTGTTACCTGATAACACAGGCATATAATATTTTAACAGTCTTTCTCTGAAGATCTCAAACTACATGATGAGTAGTCACAAACAAAGTGTAAACACTTTGAGATTGAGAAATATTTAATGGTCTCAAGTATATCAGTACAAAAACAGATTCACGAAGAAAGCAAGGAGGTTTTTCAAGATTTTGCAACAACAATTGCAAGCACAACTGTGCATCTAATAGTATATAGAGCATGCAGCCAGTAGACAGCAAAGGGTGGGACAGTTTGATAGACCATCACTGTTCCTCCTCGGCTACCACAACTGTGGGCTCATTATAAAACTGCTAGAATTTAAATGGCACTTTTCTTAGAAGTTTTGCTAAAACTTATCTACAGTTGTACTGTCAGGTCTTGCAACCACCTCCTGCATCCTTCTCTGTTACTCTTATCCTCCCTTACATCAGGCAGATTGCCTATAGGTATGAGCAGAGTTCCTCTGGGCAGTTTAATAACCATTTTCTCTGATATTTGGACATAAATACTTCTCCAATGACCTACCTCCTCTTCATGCTTTTTTGTGTGAGAGTTAATCTGTTCAGACATAAAGGTTTTAACAATCAGTACTATTTCATGAGTAACATCATCAATATGTATAAACATGTCTTTACATCCAGTAAACTCTTTGTTAGATGCATGGATTATGAGGAAAGTTAAAAGTAATGATTGGTATATTTTTTTTATTATTTAATATATACGAAAAAAAAGAATTCAAATTAGTGACCAGATAAAGCATGTGTATATTTATTCTAGGACAAAAGTAGAGAGCAAATTTTTCATTAGCCCACTAAAATTTGAGCTTTCTCCTTAGCTAGGGGTTGCATTGGTTTGTCACTTATGCAACTGAGAACAGGACTTGGCTTTCAACTCGCTGATTATACAATAGTATAAACTGTGACCTGAAGTATGATTTTTCCTATCATCCTCCACTTACCAATACCTGCTGGAAACCATTTTCATCACAAACTATATTTTACTAGATGCAGTATCAGGTCCAAATAAAATAATGTTCCAGTTCTGATTTTTTAGATAAAGTTTTCTGATGGAAATATATCACATAAGCCTAGCAAACAACATCACAGTACAAACTCTTCAAAGAACTTTAGCAGGAATTTTGACAGTCTGATTATTCCTGTACAGAACGACAAGATTTTCTTAGGGAGAGTGAAGACAGTGTTTGGAACAAAAAATCACTCAGTGGAAGGAAACTTTATCATGTTAGAAACACACATTTGTCTGGGGAGCAATTTATGAAAAGTTTTAGATATATGTTTATGTTTATCCTTATCCGGCAAACCTTTCAATATATGCATTAAAAAAATGTTAAGTCCAGTGAAGACTTTAAATATTTTGAAGCAAGACAATCTGATACTTGTTGTCATTTGAGTGATAGTAGAGTCTGGAGCCGTAAGAGTCACTGGGTATCTATGATCTTTCCTAGGTAACATTTGGAGGGTTTTATAACCTCAAAGGTGCATCAGAATGCCTCAAGGTCACTGAATTCTAGGCAATTCTGTGGTGGGTGGTAGCTCAGTGAGAAGTTTCAGTGTCACAACTGAAGATCTGCTCAATGCCTCTGAGACTTTTATCAGGCTCTCATGCTTCATATACCTCAAAGTCTTTCAAAATAGAGATGAAGATCTGAGCCAGAATCTTTGAGTTTGTACAGAGACATGGACCTCATGGAAGCTCTGCAAAAAGTGTTTTTGACTGTTAGACACTGAAGTGTCCATGCCCTGTCTTATTCTAAAAGGAAGGAAGCGCAGAAAAAGATCCAAAAACCAGAGGGAAGGGCAGGGCTTCAGCTGTTTTAGAGTTTCTCAAGCAGGGATGAAAGTGGAATTTGCCCCTCTATGAGTAAGTGCACTGGATTTATTCCTTTCTTATAATGTAAGGTTATATTCTCATTTTTCTGCAGTACAAACACTGAGAAAAGACTTCATCAGAAAAATCTTGTGTCCTATCAGAATGTTGTATATATATCACCAAGTTCTGCTTTCAGGAATTCGGTGTAAATCTGGAGATACTGTATTGAAGTCAGTTGAGTTAATTCCAGATTTACAGTAGCAAGACTGGCAGTGAATTTTGGCCTTTGGCTGCTTTTTTTCAGATGTTTCTTAGTGCATAGTAGCATATGTGCTATCTCAAGAGAAAAAAGTCATAATGTTGCCATGATAGAAGCACAAGCATAGACAAGGATGTTAGAGAACAGTTCTTGATTACATCAAAATTGCTTAATACAAGTCAGACTGCTTCACTGACTTAATGCAGCTGTGGGATCTGAAATATTCTAATGGAAATGGCATTGTGGTGCTCTTAACAACCACCTTTAAAACCAGCCTTCTGCATTAAAAATAAAAACAAAAACGAAGAAAGGAATGTGCTATGACAAACTGCAGTAAACGAGAAGCAGAATTTTATTTTATTTAATGGATAAGTGTAGAAATATTTTTCTAAAGTAGATCAAATAACCTGATAACTGTATAACACCTTGAGCTGTAGTCAGAAAAATATAATCTAATAAAAAGGCACATGGCTTCATTGCTAAATAACTTTCTCCACTACTCAGCTGTACTCTGTCCAATCTAACATGTTAGTAGTAGGATAAGCTACACTTAACCCTCTAATGGAAAGTATTAGCAGTTAAATATAGCAGTTCTGATTGTGATAAATAAAATGAGATGAAGAGTTGCAATATACAACTTTGTGTCCCAGGATGATGAAAACACTTAAACTTTATGGATCTGGCACAGGAAATGATCATGATTACAGCTGGATTTAATTTTGGTATTTAAATTGTGATTTTTTGATTGGACACAGTCAGTTTTCTGATTTGAAGAGCAAATATATTCCAACTTTCTTGGAATTTCCAACTAAATTCATTTATTAACCAATCCAGCAGTGACTTTTCCAAATATTTTCCCAATACTCAGCATGAATTTGCTGGCTTTGGTCAATTCTTCTGACAGTGCATGTGGATATGCAAATATGTGATATACAACTCCTGAGAACAAATTAAGAATTTCAAGTGAATATTTTTCAAGCTGTTATGTAAGAACATCCAAGAAAATCTCTATTGAAGCTATTAGATTCAGCTTGGACAATTGAAGAAATTTCATATGTTGTTGGGATATTCTTCGGAGAAGAAGGCCGAGTCTATTGTGTTCCTATACTTCAGCCTCTAAAATGGTCTCTTAGGTCCAGAAGTATGTACACATGCAAGCATTTACTACACAGCCTTCATGCCACCTTTACTCTCTTCTTTTCCATTTGGAATGAAAAATTCTCCTGAGAAAGTATTTGTTAATAGTTTCCAATGCCCTTTAATTTTCATTCCTGACAAGGACAATGAATGAGGAGAAAAGCCTCATAATACTGTTATTTATTTACTCTGTTATAACAAATATAAATATCAGTTAAATAAAAGCCATGCTACTGCTATTTGTCTAGCTGCAGCGGGAAAAAAAAAGTTTGGTATAGATACCTAAAATTTAAACACAGATCACATTCCATTAAAGAAACCCAAATAATTTTTACCTTAAAAATGAGATGAGAAAGGTCTTCAAAAAAATTCTTTATGGTATTTTCAATTGGTTTGAAGAAATTTCTGCAAAATTTTCATATGTTTGGCTTTGCTCCACAGAGAGTGAGAGTAATGGCACACCTTTGTATGGAGATAATTATTTCTGAAAAAACTGAGTTTGATTCTGTCTTGCCAAACAGCTCCTGAAAATGCAAGGCTTTAGGACTGAATTAAAATATACTCAAAAACATACTCAAAATCAAGATCATGCTCATGGTGAGAGAGATCTCAGAGTTACTTCCCCCCCCCTTACCATCTTCTCCAAGCATGTGAAAATCCATCCAAATTCCCTTAGTTCCTTGTACTGAACATCTCTGTAGAATTTGCTCCTTTCATTTAAATTCATAGATAGTACTTCCCTAAAGTAGCAAAGATTTATCCAACTATTTTATGTTTAAATATGGAGCTCAAAAGTCTAATCGCAATTTAATTTGACGAAATACATGCATACTTTATGGTCAATCATCCAGATCTTTTACAAGGTCCCTTGGCTTTGGAATTACTAAATCTCAAATGGTACTATATATGAGCCTTGTCTGACATGACATATATTGAAACAGACTGTGGAACGATTGCTTAGAGATGAGAACTTTGCTACACTTTTAGTGAACCAAAGCTAAGAGGCAAATTATTCAATTATAGTAAGTTTACAGTAGCTTAATATTTGATAGAAGTGGTTCTTCTATCATCAGAGAACCATACTAAAAACCCTCAAGCGGCAAAATAGCTTTGGAAATGCTGAGGATGTTTTAGCTACTTATCAAGAAAATTCATCTATCTTGATTTTTTTTTATATACACTTTGGCTCTTTGTTCAATAATGGCTGAAATACATTTAGTTTGTATGAGGACTGCTCCAAAAGTAATGCCTCCTAATTTATTATGTTGGCCTATGATTTCAGAGCTGGATGCTTGTGGTATGACAGTGGAGGTTGAACCTTTCCGCCCATATTTCATTATGTTTTGTTGCTATGAGATAAATGGCAGCAGAGGAGCCATCTGGCAGAAGGGCATCTGACATGGAAGAATGTATGAGGAAACAATATGGAATTGAATTCCCTCATGCAGAAAAAATTGCACCCACTGACATTCATTGACACTTGCTGAATAATTGTGGAGAAAAACAATGGATGTGAGCACAGTGAGTGGTGGAGGGTGCAGTGGTGATAGCAACAGTGTGTCACCTCCATTGGTGCAGGTTTTTACAAGCACATCACGCAGGCTCTTGTTCATTGCTGGTGAAAATGCACAGCAAATGGTGGTGACCATGTTGAAAAACAGTGTTTTATAGCTGAGAACTTGCTCTATTAAATAGTGTTATTGTGCTCTTTGTATCTGTTCTAGTTTCCATGGAAATAAATAGACCCTCTACTTTTACTGGTGAGATGTCACCTGGAGTACTGTGTCT